CACAAACACACGGCTGCAGGTCTGCAAAGGGCACAAACACACGGCTGCAGGTCTGCAAAGGGCACAAACACACGGCTGCAGGTCTGCAAAGGGCAAAAAACACACGGCTGCAGGTCTGGAAAAGGGCAAAAAACACATTGCTGCTGCTGTGCCACTGCAACAGGGAAACAAACACATTGCTGCTGCTCTGCTGCCCTGATTTTTAACAGTGTTATCTTTTCTTTTATAATTATTTTTCAAGTTTTGAAGTTCTCATAAAGCTTCTTTCGCCTTCTGGTAATGTTTGCATATTTGAGAGTCAGAGTCCCACACAATTTCACGTTTAAATAGAATATTTACAGATTTCCCTGTGCGTGGAGAGCAATGATTGATTGATTTTGGAGCAGTGTGGTTGGACAGTGGCAATTCCATCCTCCAACCCACGTCACCTTTGGAATTGTGGAAATTCCCAATATTTGAATAAATCTGGGTCTTTTTCTCTTTGGAACTTCCCAAGCTCTGTGAGCTCATTTCGTGTCCAACAGCGACACTGCCCTGCCAGGCAGCGTCCCTCCCACCCACAGCAACATTCAGGCACACTGCCTCTTTAAATTCAGTTTATTTCATTTGGTTTTCTTGGCATTGTTGATGATTTATTTTTATTATTTCTTTGAATTTTGATTATTTATATTCATTATTTAATTTTTGTTATTATTTATGGATAATAAATAGCAATCAAATTATAGTGAATTTAATATATTAATATGTTCATATATTAAAAATATGATTATATTTTTCTAATTCATATATTATATTAATATATTTTTTATATTATATATGTGTGTATTTGTAAATATATATATATTAATAAAAAATATTATTATATTTTTTGACACTGCCCTGCCATGGCAGCTCCCCATTCCAGCCAGAGCAACATTCAGGCACACTGCCCTTTAAATTGGTTTTATTTAATTAGGTTTTCTCTTAATTTTGCATTTATTGTTATAATGTATGGATAAATGAACATAAATCAAATTCTATTAAATTTAAAATATAAACATAGATGTTAATCTACTTAAAAATACATGTATTTATGTAATTTATAAAACTATATTTCTATTAATAAAATATTCTTATTTTAATTCTTTAATAGCTAATATTTAAATTATTTAATATAAAATGTATATATTAATATAATAATTTATATATTAAACGGCATTAATATATTTCTATTATTAAGAAGAAAAATATTATTCTTATTTTTATTTATTTTTTATTTTTCATTTAATTAAATGGTTCTTGCTTAATTTTGGTCATTTCCTTCCTCAATAAATTCAAACCACAAATTCAGTGCTGGCAGAAGTTCCATGATTCCCATTTCTTAGTTTCTTTACCAATTCCAAAGGATTTAACAACTGGATTTTGGGTCAGGAATTAAATCCAGAATTTCCCTGGCACTAAAAATTACATTTTAAATGAAATATTGAATATCGTCAGCAGCAAAGCTTTGGTTTCCATTCTATTCTGCTTTATTCCCATTTAATTTTGGTCATTTCTTTCCTAAATAAATTAAATATACAAAATTAGTTCTGGCAGAAGTTCCATGAGGAATTAACTCCAGAATTTCCCTGGCACTAAAACAACAACTGGAAATTACCTTTAAAATGAAGTTATTTAATACTGTCAGCAGCAAATATATTAAAAAATGGATATAATAAAAAATATTAAGTGAAATATTGCCAACAGCAATTGGTTTCCATTGTGCCCAAAGGGATTTTTGTAATTAACAACTCAGAATTAACTTTTCACTGGTTTTCCATGGCAAAGTGGAATTTTGCTGGAAATAAAAATGTCAATAAAAATGAACCTTTTCTCAGCAGCTCAGGACAGGCTTGCACTGCACACTCCACCTTGGCATTCTCAAAGTAGGTCTCAGCATTATTGATCTGCTGCTTCTGGGGAGCATCAGAGCCCTAAAAAGCACCAAAATCCACATTTTATCACTTAATATCCATCAGGAACTACTCAAAATATCAAAATATGCTTTAGTGATCAGACTCACTGAGCAGTTTCAGGTGTTTGCAGTGGCACTTCACATTTTTAATATTAAAATGAAAATAATTAATAAATAATAATAAATTTAAAATTAAAAATAATTTCCATATAAAAATTGAAATAATATTATTAAAGATACTTAAAGTTATTAAAAGTTACTTAAAGTATGAAAATATATTAAAAAGTAGATATGAAATTATATAGATATGAAAATACAGATATGAAAATAAAGATAAAAATAAAGATAAAATATAGATATGAAAATATATTAGAATATAAGATAGAATTTATATATAGAATATGCAAATGGAATATAGATTATAAATAGACTATATAGATAGAATATATAGATAGAATATGTAGAATTTATATATAGATTATATAAATAGACTATAGATAGAATATACAGAATACAATATATAAATATATAAAAACATATGTAAGTATATAAATATACATATAAATATATACATAATAAATATATATATAATATATAAAACCATAAATTTTTATTAATTAGATCTGAGGGAATGCTGGGATCATGCTGCCATTATAAATGGATAATTTATTATAATTTTTATTAATATTTTACTGTTTTTATTCATTATAATTTTATTTAAAATCTTATAGCAATTAATTTTATTGATTAAGAATTGTATTGTGTTTTTATTATATTAATAATGATAAATCTGAATAGCTACCAGAATCCTCTCACTGTGAAATTGAGGCATTCCTGGGTGAATTCCATGGGTTTTAGAACTGAACTTTGCCCAAACTTTGTAAATCCAGATCCATGAAATAAAACACTGAAGGAAAATTCTAATTTTATTGGTTGTATTCATAATGATGAATTTCTCATTTTGTATTTGGTGGACTTCCAGGTGCATTTCATGGTTTTTAGAACTAAACATTACCCAAACTTTGCAAATGTGAATCCATTAAATAAATACTGAAGGAAAATTCAGATTTTACTGGGTGCATTCATAATGATGAATCTCTCATTGGGACGTTGGGGATTTATCTGTTAATTCCACTATTTTAGAACTAAACATTGCTCCAACTTTGAAAAAGATAAGCCATTCAATAAAATACTGAAGGAAAATGTCAATTTTACTGGGTGTATTCATAATGATGAATCTCCCATTGTAAAATTGAGGGATTCCTGGGTGAATTCCATTATTTTAAGAACTAAACATCACCCAAACTTTGCAAATCCAGAGCCATTCAATAAAATACTGAAGGAAATTCCAATTTTATGGGTGCATTCATAATAATGAATGTGGAACACTGCCAGAATCCTCTCATTGTAACGCTGGTGGATTCCTTGTTGAATTTCATGGTTTTTAGAACTGAACATTGCCCAAACTTTGCAAATCCATGAAATAAAACACTGAAATTCCAATTTTGCTGGGTATATTCATGATGATGAATCTGGAACACACTGCCCAAACTCTGCAAATCCATGCAATAAAACACTGAAGGAAAATTCTAATTTTACTGGTTTTATTCATAATGAAT